TCACGTGTTACAGTTTGGGGTTTGATGCAATCAGTTTATCAACATTTGTTAAAGAATCGGTTTTTTTTTAAAATTACCTCCACCAAGGACGGGGGTTATGTTTTTGTCAGCGTTTGTTGGTTTGTTTGCTAATTAACAGCATTACTAAAAAAGTAATGAATTATTTTAATGACATTTTATGGAGAGGTATGGTATGGCCCGTGGAACAAATGATTAGATTGTGATGCTGATCCTCACATAATTTGGGTACAGGAATTTCCTAGAAGATTATTGAGTGCTGGCCAGGTTGACTGTATGTGAGTCCACTTGTGGCTAAGTGGAGAGGAGTGCAGCCAATATGATAGTGTGACCTGTGTGCATCTATGAAGAAATTTAAATACACATTGTTATGTCAGTCTGCATGGAACATTTATTTAGCTATTTGTGGCATTTGACACGTTACAATCTGGGGGATATTCCAGGAAGAATTTGGTGGTAGTACACTCAGAAAGTACTCGATGAACACACATACTAAAGCAACATACTAGTACAAAACTGGAGCAAATGTTAACTGTGACGTTTACAGTGTACGGGTGAGTGAATATGTTTCTGTTCACCTGCTTTTTCACTTCCAACAAATCCAAATAAATCTGACTAACCTCTGTTTTAATCCCCTGGAGTCCAGGCTCTTTTTGGTTAACTTTGGTTTTGCTGACTTTCATTCAGTTTTGTCTATTTACATTTGCAAGAAGCCAATATATATGTAGTTTGTTTATATCTAAATATATTTTTCTCAAATCATTCCTGTGCCTTTTTAATTGCTAGTTCATCTTTATTACCTCAAAGGCAGTTCTCCAATTAAACCCAACAAATTTATTTCATATAACTTTATTAACCTACTGAACTATTAGGTGTTATACCTTTATTTTCTACTGTATCTGCCATGAATACATTTGAAAACCAGTAGATTAGGTCTTATTTGAATCTGGGATAATACAATGTCTTTTAGAGTTGACCATGATGCCACACTCAAAAAATGTTTTGGTGCTGTGGTTTGTAGGCAGTGTAGTGGCACTGGAAGCCATTTTGCATTTGTGGTTAAACATCATTTATGGCCTAGTTTATTCTTTTCCACATCAAAAGCTCCCTCAAAGCCCACACATAGCAAGGGAGGCAATGATGAGAAAGAAACTAAAACCTTGTGATGTGGATTTTTTTCTTCTTCAAAAACATGCACCTGTGATTGCATCACCGTCAGCAGACAAATCTGAAAATGAAGCTCACTGCATCTTGTTCACCAATAATAGCCTCCTTCCTCTACATCCTCCCTTGTTGGCTTCCCACCTTCCTTCCACCCCTCTTCCTCCCATTCTTTCCTTCATGCCCCGAGTTAATCTTTGAAAGCACTGTTGCTGAGCTCCACTACATGATGACCACACAGTCCTAGGATTTCATGATGCAATCTGTGAGGAAAATCAGTAAAGAACAAAAGAGGGCTTTTTTCAAAGTGTTTCAGATATAACAGGGGAAGTTACATGTGAGGGATATGTCAACATATGATTAGGAGAGAGGAGAACTGATAAAGAAAAGGGAAAAGGGCACCCTGATATAAAGGATCAAATTGGGGACATTTAGTTTCCCATGTTATATTTATCATGAAAAGACTCATTTGTTTGTTGGAGGAATCCAGTGGGAGTTTATGAGTTACATATTACAGACAACCTTTGAATGGGGAAATGTGCTTTATTACCAACTTGGAAAATTTCAACAGATTGTAAAACATCTAAAACATTTTTTGAGCTGAGAGATAGTGGCAGAGCACATTCAGGCAAAATAATTTTTGTCACTTTTTATTTGTGAATTGTATTATATTTTACGAGAAAAACAGGACAAAACACCCAGACATAAACAGAGTGATGTGGTGTATGCAATTAAGTGTAGTCAGGAGTGTAACGACTTGTACATTGGTGAAACTAAGCAGCCGCTTCACAAACGCATGGCCCAACACAGGAGGGCCAACTCCAGTGGACCAGAGTCAGCAGTCCACCTCCACCTGAAGGACAAAGGACATTCTTTTGAGGACAGTGAAGTCCAGATCCTCTCCAGAGAACATCGCTGGTTTGAGAGAGGAGTTAAGGAAGCTATTTTTGTTCAAATAGAACACCCCTCACTAAATAGGGGTGGTGGACTAAGACACAACTTGTCATCCATCTACAATCCTGTTTTGAGATCCCTGCCCAAACATGCCCACCAGGACAATAGGCGTCGTTCGACGGGAGGATTCAAAGACAGATAACGACTCTCACCAATACTGGGCTATAATGATTCAGTTGGATGAGAGGTGAAACATCTTCGACCTAGAAATCTAGTCCAGTTAATTTTTTCTAAGTTTTTTTTCAGGTGAAAAAGGAAGCTATTATTTGCTAGAGTTTGTAGATGTGTTTTGTTCCTCCTTTGATATTACTAAATTTAGCTTTGATTTTACTTTGACATATAGACACTGAATGTCTTTATGGATCTGTAAACCCTAAAAGGGATTTTTTCTAGCTTGTATTTGAGCTTCCTATACAATCTGAGCACACCGGATGTGATACCCTAGCGCTTCATTCAGTGAACTTTCTCATGAATAATCGAGAGATGGTGGGTGAGTGAGCAAGAGGAACTGTAACAAAGCAATGTGTATATTTGTTTGTGCGTGTGTGGGGGCATGTATGATGATGGTGATAATGATATCATCCTGCAACATTTTGTGGTTGATTTGTCTTTGCATGTCGGAATCAAACAGTCATTGCCGAATGCAGAGGTACAGTAGGATTTCACCTACGGTTTCACACACTCTCAATAAGTAGCCTACAAATTTTATATTCAGTGTCACAGCCACTGAGTATTAACAGGTTTCCAAGATACAAAAAAAACACAGTTCATCAAAATATTACTGCAGGGTCAGGGCCAGAGGGGCAACACACATTTGAATCCCACTCACCAGAGACAAACAAAGGGTGACATTGATTATCTGTGTCAAGAATCGATTACAGAATGGGCCTGCATCATAAAATAACCACAAAGAATAAAAAAATTACAACAAAAAAACAAACAACACAGGCCACAAAGTAAGAAACAACTATAAAGAAAGGCCAATGGCCACAAAGAGGAACCACTGTATATAAAAGAAGGACGAATCCTCCGTTATGTCACCCAATGGTTTTCTCAAGGGTGGTTTCAAAGCTCATATCTGGCTGTCACAGTCTTGATAGTGCTTCACTCTGCCTAACTCTGGCTAATCCAAAAATAGGCAAAGAGGTGAAGTGTGAGTGGAGTTCACCAAACAGCTAGCAGCTGCCCATTTATGGTGGCATCCTCCTACCTGTCACTGTCATGCCCTTAATTATGCATAGTTTTATGCCTCAGTATATCCACTCCCCATCACTTGTCATGGAAGAAATTACCTATAGAGACCAAAACCAGTTTTATTTTTGTACCAGGATGTAAAAGTTTATTGTTGTAAAGTTTGGCATTTTGACATGAGAATCTATGGGAGCGGACTCCCGTTTGGGAGTGGCCATTTGAGAAACTGCAGGATTTTAACGCCTGTATTGGCTTAGTTCCCAAATGTGTGTCACCCTAAACAAACAAACAAAGCACTCAGTGAAATACAAGGAAAACTAATTGAGACAGAGAATCGTATATTTTGCTGAAACACTGCCGAACTCAGTGCACATTCTGGGCGGGTGTGATGAAAAGCCCACACACCTGAGTATTCTGTCCCAAACAGAAAAGATCATGTAGGAAAGTGAAACAGGGAAACTGGGGCAGAGACAGTGGCCAATAAGGAGAAGTATAAAAACCAGTTTGTTTAGTGGCTCATATTGAGTTTCATCACCACTCAGTACTGAAACTGAAAGGCAATTGGTGCCAAGTTTCACTTTATCATAGTTTTCTCTTTTCAGATTGAGGTACAGCTCAAAGGTTAATTGTGGTTTTAGAGTTTGTAAATACATTTTATCACAATAAAAAGTAAACTGAAAAAGTCTTCTAAAGAATCCACAAGATAAATAGATAGATAGATAGATAGATAGATAGATAGACACCAAACAAACAAACAAACAAGGAAAAAAAAACAAACTAATAATAATTATTATTTGAATCCAAGGACATAGAGCAGTTCAGTTCATTAATTGGTCTAGTTGCACCACTCAGTCAATTTGATTACAATTTAAGTCAACAATTTTTAGCTCAGAAACAACATATCACATGTTCAGAAATTTCACAGCTGTGGGCACAAATGAAGCTCTAAATCGTTCTGTGCAGTCCCAAGTGTAATGTAGAGAAAAACAGTAATTAAAATAGACTGCAGTATTTTAAAAGTGTTTTCCAGTTATTTGTTGACATTTTACTTCTTAACATTTTTAAGGTGTTTTGCGATTTGTGTTTTTGAGAACAACTATAAGTTCTACTGTGGGCACATTTAAGTGGAGTATAATATAAGTGGTGTATAATCAGGTAGTGATGTCGTCACAGGACAAGCACTGCACATTAATAAACACTGTCATAATGTCCTTTCATCTAGTTAAAGCTACACCATAGTGTGTATTTGGTGGAGTGTTTACACAACTTCACATTTTGACAACATCAGCTCTGATATGACCACAAAATGATGTGAACATGAATGTTAACTTGAGCAGCAGCAAACCAAACCGGTTCAAGTGAACTCAGCAATGGGCTCAGTAGGTGTAGTCAGTATTATGACTTTGTGTCTGTTTCAGCATGTCATTTCAAAACCAAAAAGTAACAACGACTACTTTCCCATCCTGAAACCACAACTCCACTCTGATAAAACTCCACTCCAAAAATTCTGTGACTTCTCTTTCC